GCAATCGACTAATTTCTCCGATCATGAAAGTCCTCTAATTCCATGATTATCGAATAGGTAATTAGGTGTAGGTATAAAGCCTCTAGAGCCACCCCAAAGAAATTGGCCTTCATTCAAACTTGAATTGAGATGATCCTGTTGAAAGCATGTAAGTTCAGCTAAAAAAGTTGAAAGCATGCAAAACCCCGGAATTAAATAACGAAGAATATAATTTAGTTTGGCGTCAATTCACGGAGGGAAAAGAAGGTGGGGTTGCCCTTGTCGACTTCCTTTCCCTTTTTTCTTCTCTTCTTCTTTTTTTTTTAATTTTTTTTTAAAATTTCTAAAATCTCCTTTTCTTTTTGGGCTAGAGTTGCAAATATAAGTGGTAAAATGAGGTCCATCTCGATCCGCCGTAGATTGGATATACAGTACCATTAAAAGAAAGTAATAAAGAACCAAGTTAATATAAGAGAGTGTACCCTTGAATTGCTCGGGGTGCACTCCAAGGATAAAATCCAGAATGCACCAAGTTGATACAAGAGAGTGAGTCCTTAAGATTGTTCGAGAAAGTAGACCAATCGAGGTATGCGAAAGCGAGCGCAGACACTAACTTACTGCTAAAACAGAAAAAAATAAAATAAAAGGGTGTGGAGGGGGGGATGAAAGGGATACTGGTGACGCTTATAGCTTTAAATTTTTCATCAAATAACTGCAATACGATAATGACTGATGCTTCGTATACTGAAATGATTCCTAACATTGGTTTATAAAGTAAGGTGCCATCCTTTTATATAGTATTGTAGAAACTAATTTTCGTAAATCACAATTCTGAATATTGTAAATCAATTTCGTAAATCAATATCAATTCGCACGTCGAACATCGATATAGTCAAGGTTTGGACTAAAAGAAACGGAAAATTTTCCATTGCATCTACCATCTCTTTCAAATGGTGCAAATACTTTATTGAAATAAAGTTCGAAATGTTCCAAACGACCTCGAAAAGGAGAAACCAAAATTGTTAACATATGAAATATATTATGCGTGGTACTCAAATAATTTAAGCATTCTGAGTAAAGGACTGTGCACCCAACTTTCATATCATATGAATAAAGAAAACGCTCTATACGGTTGAAGTTGACTTTCTCATCCTCACATTGAATAAGGATTTGCAAGTGCTCTTGAAGCACAAAGTCCCTTGTACTAATGATGGACAAAAACATTATGCACCAGATGTACTTAAGATTTCTTTCACAGGCAACTATTGTGATAGTGATTGTGTCCTCCGGCAATCAACATTCGATGGTCACCACAATTTCTCGAGCTCGAGCATGTGATCTAGGGTTTTTTTCTTTAGATATGTGGAGGACGGTCTCAATTGACCACCGGTTACCGATCCGTATTGCTTGCTCGGTCGATCACCGCCTAAGATCACAATGGGTCGAGCCTCCTAAGCACGAGTTCAGGTGCTGCTCCTGTGATCCCTTCCTCACCTTGCTATCCTTATCCGGTCATGAGCATTGAGCGACCACCACGCGGTGATCACCAAACTCAAGCGACCACCGTGTGGTTGTTGGTGGCCTCAGGCGGCCACGACATTTTGGTCTGATCCCAAGCACTTGCCGGTCAGTGGCTTTGATTGATAGTGAGCACCTTTTTCTTTTAAAAAATTTCTTTCCTCTTAATTTAATATTGATTGATAGTGAACGCCTATAGGTGAAGATTTTGAGATTGCTCGCAATGCGTGTGAATGTACAAAGATTTGTTGAGTTGTTGGGGATTTAACTACAAATTTTTATGGTAATTACATTTTCATCTTTCAAATATAATTTTTAGATGATAATAAATTCAATTGAAATGGACATAGATGAAATGTAAATGGGTTCTTTCTAAGAAAAAGTAGGAACTCTCTCTCTTTTTTTTTCTGTTACATAATCTACCGCACTAAATAAAAAGGTTTTTCCGACATTTTAAGTGTTTCCAACTCAGTTAGTTTTTTTTATCTTATTTGGGCATGGTAATATCTAATATAATCATAAATCATAGATGCTAGATTTTATACGTCATTAGATTAGGCACATGCATTATCTAAAGTATATAAAAAAGATTGCATTTCATTTAGTTTAGATTACTTTCGTGCATGTTTTCTAATTTAGAAATTCATATCTTAGGTGCATTAGGAATCATGTAATAACCTAGAAAATTACCTAATTTAGGGTAGGATTTAATATAAATTTTTTCCTAACGAAACTAAGCCATCATGTAGATTTAGGCAGCTTCCTATTTTAACTCATAAAATAAATCTACAAAATAGTGCATGCATATCTCATACAGAATTAGTTAGTTCATCAATGCATGTTAATTTAGAACTCATACAGACATAGCATTTAAATTAATTCACGCTTATTTCAAAGAAAAACCCAAAAAGAATTAATTACATTAGCCTAGGTCATGCATACATCACATCATAGTTTGGTCTTTAGTTAAAGTTTCGTAGAATACTTGATGCATGAGATGACAAAAAAGTTTCGCTTTTGAATTGCTTAGCGCATCAAGCTGTTTGCCCCTTTACTAGCAATTTATTTATCGCTTTAATTATCGAGTGTCGAATTCCTGTTTGCACACTCACATGATCACCTATCACATGTTAGTGACTAAAGATTTAAATCGATCAAAATTGCTTGCAAAATATTTTTGAAATAAAGAGAAAATGTACCAAAATGGCGTTAGATTTATTTAGTGAAATCAAATCACATATCCATGAAATATCTAGTTCGCAGAAGTAAAATGTTTTCCTACATTTTACTTGAATTTCTAATCGATCAGTAATAGATTAATGGCAACTCCAAAATGAATTGATTTGAATGTTTAATTGATTAAATAAAAACCCTAAAGTTGTGATTAGTATGGGCTTAGGAGAGTCTGTGCTAAGTGTTTACTTAGTAATCCATTAGCTTTCCTTGGTGGTTCACCTCTGGGAAGGTTGCGACGAAGCTAAGTGGAATTTGGGATGTAATATTAGAACTCTTGGTGCACTTATACCTAGAAATCATTTCTTTTAAATATACAATGTTTGACCAGACAAGATGAAATGTTGGACTTTGGCATAGTACCAAAATGTAATGTTGGACTTTGGCATAGTACCGTGTCTGCAACGGACGGGTAATGGTCTATCAACAAGAAAAAGGAACGTCATAAAATAAAAAAAAGGCCAAAATCGATTGATAAATTTATCACATGAATAACATGACAAATCGGCTACACCATGTCAATCGTATAACCAATGCATAAAGTACTCTTTCTTATATGATAGGTCCCTTGGAAACATCGCAAACTTAAAGTATGTCGTCGTCACGCATAGGGTCACCTAACATGTTGTTAGGTTCGCGTATCTTTGAAGAGAAAAGAAAATAGAAAAGAAGACACAAGGATTTTTTACGTGGAAAAAACTACGGTGCCACACTAGTCAAGCTCTTCAGTATCAGCATTGTATCAGAATTACAAGCTTCAGAGTTACAAGCTTCAGGGTTACAAATTTTCTACTACAAAAGATATTATCTTGATATATAGCAGGAGTTTAGGGTATACATAACTATGATAAAAATTACATGTATATCATTAATAGTAAAAGCTCTTAGCCTTAATAATACTTTTTTCTTTGTCGGGCTCCGTAACTCCATCACATGTATCTACTATCACCAACCTAAGTGGACAACATACTATAAGCATCACTGTCTCCTAATGCACAAATCCATATTTATATTTGGCTTGAAAAGGACACCTTCCTTTCAGGGTTGGGGATGCGATGTATATATTATATTTGAGAGTGAAATTTCTTAGTTTGAAAAGACAAAAGGTCCGACTCGAGCAATCGTAGGATACGGCAAGACCCACATTCGTGTTTGTCTTTGTGTGGTTTATGAGCTAGGAGTGCTTAAAGTTTAAGTTTACTAATTTATTATTAAATAATAGCTAGCTACGAATAAGGAGGACTGTTGTTGACTTTTTTCATGAATCTTATACCGATAAATAGGGAAAAGGGCCTTGTATTTGACTGGACTTTATATTCAATTTATTAAAAGAGGTAAGTAATTTATAATTTTCATTAATTATACTTACATTAGAAAATATTAGATGGTCCAGACTAGGGGTGTACAAAAAACCTAGGACCGCCCAGGACCGCCCGGGACCAGACCGGAACTGGTGGTTCCCAAGGGGACCGATCCGGTTCTCGGTTCCAATTTTTTGGAACCGGTGGGTATCGGTCTGGTTCCCGGTTCCCGGTTCCCGGTGTGGAACCGCCCACCCGGACCGGACCGGTAATATAATAATAATATATTTATCTTTTAAAATTTTAATTAAAAAAATCTGACCAAAAAAAAAAAAACGTAACTAGACACTCATAACTCTCTGCTCTCTTATCTCTGGACACTCATTTGATGGGTACCCACTTGATTTATGGATGATGTGTTTAATAGAACCGATCATAGTATAGGAATTGTATGGAAAGTTATGTTCTTTTCTTTTTGTTCCGTTGATCCGATGTTGGTTCACATATTTTTTTTTATTTGTTCAGGAAAACTTGGTGGGACCGGTTCCATGGACCCGCCCGGGAACCGGACCGGACCGGCGGTCCGGTTCCCGGGCGGGTCCATGGAACCGACGGGCGGTCCTCGGTCCCAAAATTGAGGACCAACACTGTGCGGGTTGGTCCTAGGGTTAGGGGGTGAACCGGCCCAACCCGGACCATGCTCACCCCTAGTCCAGACGTCAGCAGCCCCATTCGATGAATGACATATGATGCCACATCAGTTGCTGGGTCCCACTTTCTCTTTATTCATTTCCGCATTTGCGTCCTCCAATTAACGAAGACGTACTCTCTCTCCCTTTCTTATTTTCTCCGCTCATCGTACCCCGCAAGATTGGGATCTGTGAGTGTAGTTTACGTAATGTAATGGGTACTCGACAATGCTACTATAAATCAGGAGCAAGTCCAATCCGTTCATCAGCCTTAGCCAAAATGAATTCATGCTTCATCATCTCCCTCTGTCTCTCCTCCTCCTCCTTCTTCATCAACATTTTCAGTACCGAGGCTGCACCCGCATATCTGTTTCATGATTGCCCAAACACCACCCTCTTCACTCCCAACTCCACCTACCGATCCAACCTCCGTATCCTCCTATCTTCCCTCTCCTCCGCCGCCACCGGCAGTGCCGACGGATTCGCCAATGCAGCTGCCGGCCAAAACCCTCCCGACCGGGCCTACGGGCTCTTCCTCTGCCGCGGCGACCTCAACAGCACCACTTGCAGCCACTGCGTGGCCACCGGGAAACGGGATATCCTCCAAAGATGCCCGAACCAGCGAGTCTCCACAATCTGCTATGACCAGTGCATGTTGCGGTACTCGAACTGGCCCATCCTCTCGGCCATGGAGCAATCACCAGATCGGGTCTTGTACGATGACATCAGGAACGTCACTGACCCAACCCGGTTCATGCAGCTCCTTGGAGAAACCCTGAACGACATTGGCACGAGGGCTTCGGCTGGCGGGTCGGCGAAGAAGGTTGCAGTGGCAGAGGCAAACTTCACGAACTCACAGAAGCTGTACGCACTCGCACAGTGTACACCGGACTTGACGGCATCAGACTGTGTCAAGTGCCTCCAGTTCGGGATCGCTAATCTGCCTCACGGGAAGCAAGGCGGGAGGTTGCTTGCTCCGAGCTGCAACTTGAGATACGAGCTCTACCCCTTTTATAATGCCTCGGCCCTGCCGTCGCCGGCCCCTCCACCTCCTGCTCCAGCACCTCCAGCTCCCGCTCCGGTGACTGGACCTGAAGGTACATGTGTGTTTGTATAGCTTGTCTTCCTCCATCCTGACTATCCTTTTTCATTAGGGTAAGTCTGATTTTCCATAAAACACTCCATTCATTAGTCGCCACGTGGCAAGTAGGTTCCACTTATCAAATTACTCCACCTCTTCTCTTCTCCCAGGATGTAACTTACTACTCTTGGAGTTGAAGAGCACCGACAGTAAAACACTCTCTCTCTTCTTCTATACTTCTCTTTTCTTCTTCTTCGTTCAGAGAAAAGAGACTCGCCAGCCTTGCTATGGCCTCGTCGGCTGCGGGCAAAGGTGGCCTCGTCCATGGCTGCGATGGTCTGGGCGAGGCCAGCCTTGCCATGGGAGCTCTTGAGAACCAGCGTCTGTGGCTTCGTAATGAAGCTGGCTTCCATGGAGTTTGAGCTTTGAAGTTGCATCGCCTTGCCAGATCTGGCGAGGGCGCCGCAACCCTCGCCCACGGCCGGTGAGGGCTTCGCGGCCCTCGCCCTGGGGCTGGCGACCACCCTTGCTCAGTGGCTGGCGGAGGTCATTGGCCCTTGGCTAGTGTCCAGCAGCACCGCCGGCACTCTGAAGGAAAAAGGAAAAAAAGAAAAGAAAAGAAAAGAAGGAAAATAAAAGGTAAATTGAAGTGGAGACCGTGAACGGAGAAGTAACAGGGAGAGAGAGTGGGTCAAAGACAGGAGAGAGACTTTGAAAAAATTCATCAATGAGATTTAGTTTTTTAACTCCACAGGAAAATCTAACTTTATTCTAATTGAGGACTATCATGTTAATTAGATACTCTCCTTTCGTCTATCTCTCTCTCGTAAAATCCGAACACGAACACCCACAAACAAGTATAGAGTATTATTATATTACATTGACAAGTGAAAATATCCTTAAAAATGTAAATAATTAACTTACAAAATAAAATTTAGAAGGTAAGAAAAATTGAGATTGTAATGCTGAATTTTGTAAGTATCCTTCCTCAAATCTTTCTCCACGAATAATAGAAATTTGGATTTTATTCTTATACAATCTCTCGACATCATCTTTTGGAAAGAGAATTCATAATGGGATGGGCGATAAAAATATTTAATTTTTCGTTATCAAATTAGATTATTTAGATCACAATTGGTAAAAGGTCGCTTTTACTCGATCAATGGTTATTCTTATACATTCTCTCAACATCGTTTGTTCTAGACATTTGCTCATAAAGCGTACTCTTTTTCGTTTTTCTTCATTTTTCACGTTTGCTCTGGCCTATGGTAGCAATTCGAGATATGGTTTGCACATATGCAGGCAAAAGCAATAAAACTGTTGTGATAATCATTGCGGTCATCACAACCCTGGTGTTTCTCTTCCTCGTTTGGTGTATCTGTCGGAGGAATGCGACCAAGACACTTGCGGTCGTCCAAGGAGATCAAATCAGTACGAAATATGTACCGTTGTCATCTAATTGGATAGAATGATGGAACCGTGTGCGCGGGATTTACTGTTCTATGCTTTCGGTGAAATGACCATCTCGTGTTGTTTCGTCGTGTAGGCCTAACTGAAATTACAAACTCCGAGCCCTTGCGGTATAATTTAGCCACCATACTAGTCGCCACAAACAATTTCTCTCATCAAAACAAGTTGGGTAACGGCGGATTTGGTGAAGTTTTCCTGGTACCGTTACTTATCGCACTTGAAAGATCTTTGTTTAAAAAAACTTGAAAATCTTTGATTTGGTAATTTTGAAAAGTTGTGATCAGAAGCTACTCATGTGTACTTAAACATCAAAATACTAACCTTTCAGGGTATGCTTCTTAATGGAGTGCTAATAGCTGTGAAGAGACTATCTCAAAGCTCGAGACAAGGTGCCGAAGAATTTAAGAACGGAGTCATGCTGCTACCGAAGCTTCAACATCGAAATGTCGTGCAGCTGCTCGGGTTCTGCTTGGACGGTGTGGAAAAACTACTCGTCTATGAGTTTGTGCAAAATAAAAGTCTTGACTACTTTTTATTTGGTACGTCATCTTTTCAATATATTACTAAGCTATTGCTTTTCATGGTTAGGGGAATATGTGATTAGCCTCAGATTATGTTCAATGTTTCCCTATATTTTGGAACCTAAAGTTAGTTCCTTGCATAAAGTCTGTTCGAGAGGATTTATATATCAACCATAGCTACCCTCATTTCAATTTTGCATACATGCAGATCCTGAAAAAAGCAGGCACTTGGATTGGTCGACACGTTACAAAATAGCATATGGGATTGCTCGAGGAATGCGCTATCTACATGAGGACTCTCGAATTCAGATCATCCATTGTGATCTTAAATCAAGAAATATCTTGTTGGATAGTGAAATGAACCCGAAGATTTCCGATTTTGGCATGGCAAGGATTTTCGGAGTCGATCAAACATTGGCAAGCACCGAAAGAATTGCAGGGACTTAGTAAGTATCGTTGTGCTTTGTTCTCTCCTCATTGAGGCTTATCTATGCTTAAATTGTTGATGTGTATAATGGTTCGCAGTGGCTACATGTCACCTGAGTACGCAATGAATGGGCAATTGTCAGTGAAGTCCGATGTCTATAGTTTCGGTATCCTACTTCTGGAGCTCGTTAGCGGTAAGAATGTCGCGACCTAAAAAAATCGGGTTTTCGATCTTAGGCTAATGGATTACTAGATCAATTAAATTAACTAACCTAGCTCGAGTTCTCCCAAACTCTACCAAATCGCAACTTAGGTCCAATTGTGAGCATGCAAATATTTTCAATGGGAGTCGCCACTAATCATTTAAGGTAGGTTGATTAGAAACCTAAATAAAATAGCGGGAGTACTATTTTATTTCTGCGAACCAGAAATTATAAATTCGGGGACTTGGTTACGCTAGATTCCCTAACGCCTTTTCGGTACCAATTTTAAGAGAAATACTCAATTGGACAATTTTGATAAATCCTGACTTAGAGTTCAAAGGTGTAGAAATTTTCTTTTTTGATTTTTTATTTATTTAAATGAAAGCTAACCTATATGTAATGACGTGCAAAAATTGACATGTGATTAATGCAACATAACATGCAAACTATATGTCATGCGACGACGTGATCTATTTCTAATGACGGGAATATTATTTTTTTTGTATTTTTTCTTTAATGAAATTCGGAATTAAAAATGCCAATTATCTAAACATGCAATTTTAAACTAAAGAAATTAACCTATTCTAGAGTAATCTTTTTGGCATTTTTTATCAAAATTCGAAATTAAAATCAAGTAAAAAAATATAACCGCTAAATCTTTCGAATTAAGTTTCGATCTGAAGCCTGACAGATCGATCCTAAAATTCGAAATACCCGCTATGGAAATAACTCTATCTAAAGCCTGATAAATAGATTTATTTCCACGTGTGCGGTTGCGGATTAGGAAATTTTCCTAATCGATCACATCTTGAAAAAAAATAGATATCTTAAATATCTTGGATATATTCAAAAGATTTTGAAAATTCTAAATTCTATCCAAACTTGAAAAGTAATAGATATCCAAGATTTCAAAAAAGGAAATAAAATCCTAATTGAAATAATGCTTATTATTCAAATATGCAAAATTAGATATCAATAAGCACAAATTAGGCAACCAAATATTCGAATCAAATCGGGATATGATAATTACCTGATTTGCAAATTTCTTTCCTAATTTGAATCTGTAGCGGATCGGGATTGCGGATCGGCGGTGCGTCGGGAGCGGTGGCATGACGTCGGGAACAGTGGCGGCTAGCGACGGTGACACGACGGGAACGGCGGCGCAGCGGACGTCTCCGGGCAGCAACCAACAGGCGGGGACGGGCGACTCTCCAGCAGCTGTGCAGCGAACAACGGCAGCACAGGCGGTGGACTAACGGCGGTGCAGGCGACTCCGGCTGGCGAGCGGCGGTCCAGGATAGCTCTGGCTGGCGAGCGGCGGTGTAGGGCAGCTCTCCGGCGGCTGTGCAGCTAGCAGCGGCGACACAGGCGGGCGGAGCAGGGACGTCCAGGCGGCGGTGGCACCGGCGCAGCGGTGGTGTGCAACGAGGCAACGGCAGGTAAGCGTGCAGCGGCGGTGGCACACGGCGGGAGACAGCAGCGCGCGGCAGGAGGCAGCGGCGCGCGGCGGTGGGGCGCGGCGCGGGCAACAGCACGCGACAGGGAGAAGGACGGAGGCCCGCGGGGCGGGCGGTGGCGCGGCGGGCGTGCGGTGGGCGAGGCGGGCTTGAGCTCCGGCGTAGTGCGGCAGGCGATGGCGCGGCAGGCGTGCAGTGCGGCGCGGCGGGCGGTCTCCTTCTCTCTCTCTCCCACTCTTCTCAAAATTCTCTCGTATGTCTTTCTAAAAATCCGATCTGAAAAATTATCAGAGCCCCCCCTTGATTATGAGACATAAACATATATTTATAATGTAAACCTAGGTCAATTAGCCGGGCTTTCTAGTCCTAATGGGCTTAGGTTTAGGCTTTAATTCAATTCTAAGTGGGCTGAATTAATTTGGGCTTTTCTTTAAGTAAGCATAATGGGCTAATTTAAGCTCAAATTAAGACAACCAAGCCCTTTTGTGTGTGATTTTCGGCCCATGCTTTCCGAGTGAGTCGAGTCTCGTTCAGTGCCCGAGCTCGATTTACGTGATGAATTTTAAGCTCGCTTACCACCGCCGATCCGATGCGAAATGCAATTAATCTATATGAACCTAAACTTTATGCTATGCGATTTGTAATATTTTTGTTCAGGGATTAAAATTTAATCCCTAATTTTCTATGCAATTAATCACTAAATGATGCACCGAAATTTAGGTGTCAACAGCTGCCCCTCTTTGAGTGGAGGCTCGCAGAGGTTTCGCTCAAAAACTGAGACCTAAATTTAAACTATGCAAAATGATGAATGATGATTTTTTTTTTAATGCAATGATGCATGATATGCAAACAATAAAGAACGTATGCTAAGGCTTCTCACTTCGTGTATAGCGGTGAAAAAGCCTTACATACGGATCGCACAAAAAGCGTCCAAGTGAGGGAAAGCTTTATAATGCTTTGACTTCCCTCGATCTCCAAACTTCTGGTCCATTGGAAGTAAGGTTCTCGAGGTACTTGATTGTCTATCTGTTACCAGTAATTTTCTATAGATGCGAAATAGCGCATGATATAAAAAAAGAATGGGATGTGTTGCCCATACCACTGGGCAATCACGAAAAGGATCATGTCACCTCTTCCATTGGATGAACATGAAATGGGGTGTGCCGCGTACTCCACTTAGCAACACCAAATGAGAAATTATGTTGCCTGTACTACTGGGCAAACATGAAATGGGGTGTGCCGCGTACTCCACTTAGCAACACCAAATGAGATATTATGCTGCCTGTCCTACTGTACGAACATAAAATGGGGTGTGCCGCGTACTCCACTTGGCAACACCAAATGAGATATTATGCCGCCTATCCTACTGGGCGAACATAAAATGGGGTATGCCGCGTACTCCACTTGGCAACACCAAATGATATGTCACCTGTTCCACTTGGCGAACATATGAAAGAGATCATGTCTCACATTCTGGGAAAAGAGAAACAATGAAGAATAATTAGTAGACGTACTTGATTTCTTCTTGTGTTATAAAAATGGCAAAACCAATTGCATTGCACCTGTTTTTACCTGAAAAAAGGTTAAAACAACACATGCCCGCAGAGAAAACATAATTTATGAATCTGCTTACATTACCAAGCTTTACCGGAGAATTTATCAATAAGAACAACCATTTCGTCCTTTTGACAATTTGATCACATTAAATGAGAGACCTTTAATCAGAAAGGACTTTCTACTCACTCTCAATGAAAGGCTTTTGACCCGACCTTTGATGCGGGTATAAGAATCACTCAAACTCTCTTCATCGTGCTTGACAAGGGTTCGGATATTCTCAAAATCAGTATGACTTGACCAATCTGAGAGGTCTTTATAAGGACTAAAACGTGGGTTTGGTCAATGGCTTAGCAAAAGGGACTCTTCGAGTCGAGGCTATTGAAAAAATTGATATCACCAGCTGCTCCGGGTTTACAAGTCAGGAATGCTGCAAAAATGAGATAGAAAAATCTTGCTCGCACTTCTTCGAGCAACATTTATAAGCATTTGAAACTCTATGTTAACTCAAGTGCCCTATTTTGAAGAAACTTCGGTAAGGGTTGTAACGCAGATTCGGGTAGGCTTGAAATGAATGGCCTATTTCCATCAAAGGGGGTATTATGAACATGGAAATTGGTGATCATCCAATTATGCTACTGGTACCATTGACCTATCTCTAGCAATTGCTCCATAAATGAACCTTCAAACGGTCTTTTCCTTGAAGACTGATCTTGTATGTTGACTCAGTTCTTGCTGAAGCTTTTCTTTCTCTCTCTTCTCCCCTTTTTTTCTTTTTTTTTTCGAGAGTTTTTTTTCTGAGAGAGAGAACTTCGATTTAATGGAGTCCTTTTGCATCCTTTCTGATGAATTTTCTTTTGAGCTCCCATTTGCCTCAAGTCACCTTGAACTTGCTTTGAGATGATTTCATTTATTTATCACAAGAATGATCACCAATCGGGTTGAAATGAGTTCACCGCTCAAATTGGGTATGCAAAGGGTATACTGTGTAGGGATATAGAAAGAACTGCTCTTCATCATATCTAAGGCACTCGAGCTAACACAGAATTTGTATGCAGTAAATATACTTGAAGATTGATGCAAGTGAAAGTAAGAAAATTCTAACCATTTTGAACTTTCTAAGAAATTGCCCCAGTATAGGGTTGTTCCCGACAGGGGTAAGAAATGAAACTCCGTTCAAAGGGGTTAAGCAAATGATAACCTGTAGTGTTTAGATAGAGGAAATGAATGCCTCTCATCATTTCGGTCGTCATACTTTTCGTGAGATAATCCTTTACCTTGTCAGCACGGAATTTTCACTCAACTCGCACTAGGGATTATTATTCAGGACATGTATGGAAATGTCTTGCCTTTCGTCATCTTGAAGTCTCTCATGCAATATGATCGCTTTATTAGGACAGAAATAGATTGCCAAATCAAAAGCTTTCCTCAAACAAAACTTGGTAACATAAATTGATTCATGAAATTCAACTTGATACTTGATAGAAACAAAGTCAGAATGAGTACAAATCAAGTGTAATACTTCTTCACAGAATCAGAATTAGCTGGACTGGAAAAAACACGACCATCCATCTCGGCCAAAATTAAAGCACCTCCTGGAAGGACTTTCTTCACAATGTACGGGCCACCGTAGTTTGGGGCGAATTTTCCTTCTGCAAGAGGAACTATCGGCAATAACTTCCGCAGGACAAGGTCACCTACCTGAAAATGTCGAGGCTTGACTTTCTTGTTGAAAGATTTAGCAACTCGTTGTTGGTAGCACTGGCCATGACATAGAGCTTTAAGCCTTATCTCATCAATCATGTTCAACTGGTCCAACCTCTGCTGGATCCAATATGCTTCTGACAATTGTACCTGTGAAAGAATACGTAATGAAGGAATTTCAACCTCAACAGGTAGAACTGCTTCCATACCGTACACAACAGAATATGGAGTTGCCCCTGTAGATGTCCGGATAGAAGTTCGATATGCCATAAGTGCAAAAGGTA